TAATACACAACTTTTCATTAGATCACTACCCAAAATCCTGCATATTCAAGGCTAAAAATCTTGCAACTGCCAGGTGCTAAAGTGAAATGGATTGAAGTCAAGTGGGACCCCTCAGACAAGGCTCACTTCATCTTTCCTATTTTCCATTTAGCTTATTCACTTCTGTGCCAGTGGGAGATGAAGAACAGATGATGGCAGTATCATCAAATAACCACCTAAAATGTATTTTCTCTCTCACGTCTAGATAAAATTTCAGTGACAAGTAATGCCTAACAGGAAGGTTTGATGTGAAACTGGAAACCGTAGTTTTAGTTGACAGCAACACAGGTATAGCCCCAGGGTGAGCTGATGTGGACTACTCAATATTCTGCACTTTCAGAACACTCTGAAAGCAGATGTTCTGGACTCTGAAACAATACCCTACCCTCCACACCCCAGATGGGGCTGAGGACACCATCCTGCAGCTCAACAACATCCTGCAGAACAATCTATAAACAGCCCTGAAGTCATTCCAGGACTCACATCTTCATAAACTACCCCACAGTTCATATTATTAAAAACATGCTTCATTTTGCATTGCAAGAATCTAGTGTTTTGGAAGACAAGTTACACCACAAGTGCCTATATCACCTGGATATTCCACAGTTCCTGGTCTTTCTCTGGAGTCAAGCCAATTCCCTCACCACCACTACTGCACACTCCCTAGTCAGGCAGCCATACCTGGAGAAAAGACCACATGAATATTTCATCTAATTTTGGGTGGGGTTGTGGGTTTTTTTGTGTTGGGGTTTTTTGTGTGTGTGTTTGTGGGTTTTTTTGTTTGGTTGGTTTCTGTTTGTTTGTTTGTTTGTTTTTTAAACAAACCAGAATTAAGGATGAGTTACAAACAGCCTTAACCCAGAAGCAGTTCAGACTTCTGCTAGGAACGACTGAGTCAGTTGATACCGCAGCTGCTCAGTGGTCTCTACAAAGCTGGTCTCTGCCCAGTCCCTAAGAAACAGGTGTCCCCACTACAGAAGCAGCAGCTCGGCTGTATGAACCACAACCCACAGGCAGATCTGTTAGGCTCAACCACATCAGCCACCAGAGCCAAATAATTCTTTCTGAACATCTTACTTTGAAATGAGCCCCCCCCACAAGACAGTCAAGGTACTCTACACAAGGCTTCTTTCAAGTCCAGCAGACACTTCTGATGTGATTTTTAAATAACAAGTAATAATAAAAAAAACACACTCTTCAGCATAAAATTGTAACATATTTCATTTGCTCCAACATTTAATCCTCAAAGTTTGGGTCTGCATTAAGATGGCATATTTGCTGAAGTTCCAAAGGAGATTGTTCTAATGAGAAATGGCTCAGTGAGACATTCCAAATCCCATAGTTTTTATACCTCCCACCTTCTCAGGAAGAGACCCAGAAAACAAGAACCTTCAAGCACGATCTTGCAGTCAACTTCGGAATCAGCGTGACCCCATCCTAATCCTGGCTTCGGGATCACACTTGTCAGTGGCAACCCAGGCCAGCTGGCCTTGGTCCTGCCGCTCCCCCACAGCACAGGCAGAGGCCTGACAGCTGAAGGTGGAGCCTTCCAGCTCTTAGACCCACTGCCCCTCAGAAAAAAAGCCCTTTGGCAAAGGCGTTTTTGCCCTCTTTGTTTACAGGCACAACACCCAAACTCCAACCCATTCCAAACATCTCTAAAAAACAAAATTGAGTAAAATAAAGTGAGCTTCTTTCAACTCCACTCCTCTCTCTCTGTCAACCCCATCAATAACAGTCAGGGAAATGCAGTGGTCAAATGTTCCATAAACCACAAGGGCCACACAATCTGCTTGAATCTGACTTCCATCTGTATCTTGAAGAGGAAAAACAAAAAGAAAAAATAAAAAAAGACACCACACAAATTTTTCACACATTTAATATAATGGCACCCTATTTAAGTTTACAGTACTTTCACCTCCACTAGATACTGTGTTTCAAAAGTATAATGGGGGAAAAAAAAAAAAACAAGATCTATTTTTTTGTAAAGTTTTAGAAACTCAACCATTTGGAGTTACACATGCATAAATGCCTTTCAAAAATTGTTAATTGTTTTTTCACCCTCACACAACAATTCTGCTGGGTCTTTGCATGAGGTATGGAGACCAAAGATGGCACTTAAACTTCTGAAGTCAGGGGTGTCGTCAGGTTATACCAGGACTTCCGCTAGAGAGCCTGCCATGAAGCAAGAGCTATAGATAGGAACAGAATGTGCAAGAGCTCCAAAGCAGTGAGAAGCACAACATGTTTTGCAGCTTGTGTTCTGACAGCCACGGAACTGAAGACTGCTAGTTGAGGGAAGACAGCCTGAATTTCTTCAGCTCAAATCTATTCCAAGCATATCCAGCCCAGTCACACGGGCAGCCATACACTGGATTCCATGATACTAGTGATGACCTCTCCTTTGCATTTTACCTTGGATCAACAACCAAAACAAGCTGAAAGGTCACTTGGAGAAGCCACAGGAATAACAGGAAGTATCTGCTGGGTTTCCTATGACAATTAAGAGAATTAATGTGGAAGTGGATAAAAACATACTAGGCAGAAGTCTTTTTAAGGTACTAGAAACTAGAAAACTAGCTACCCTATTGTTTTATTATCAGCTTCATGCACTGACTTTAAAGAGTTAAGGAAAACAAGTACTCTTTGTATGAATAAAGTTTGGAGCATCCTTAAAGAGGGGAAGCTAACCTAGAAGCAGCCAAGGACCACTGACTTCACACAAAAGCTTGGCCTGAAAGATGGTGAACTCATCAGTCACTTAAAACAGACTGAAATTTTGGGGTGGCCATTTCCTGCAATCTACAGTACTCATTTTAGCTTTTATTCTTCCAGTTCAGAATTAGGGAATGGACCCAAGTTTATAACTTGAGAAAACTACTTCTAGAGAAGTCAATGGTTTGACTCTAGTAGGAACTTAAATAGTCCTTCTCCCACACTTAAGAACTGCTCATTCTGCTGTTTTCATTTATTTCTCTTTTAATTAGGACAATATTCACTAGACTAAGTAAGGCATTAACCTTTTACCTTTGCATCCTGCTTCTAGTTGCCTCCCATCTCCAAGTTCCAGCAGTCATCACCCCTAAAAGGACATTCACTAATGCTCTCTTACATTTAATACTAAAGGCCACATCCTTCAGTCTTTTCAGTGTGTACAATACTTCTAAAATGCATACAGAAATGCCCCCTAAAAATCCCATTGTTAGCTGTGAGAGAAAGTAATTCAGAACTTTTAAGTTAATAATTTGTTCACATAGATGCCCATATGATATAAATCGGGCAGATTTTGATTCACGCACACGACTGATGGAGTATGTTAAAGACAAAAAAAAAAAAAACACGCAAAAATCACATGAATTACAACTTCTGGCTGACTCATATATTAATTACACAGAACTAAAAATCTCTACTTAGAAAAAGGGTGGAAATAACAAAAACACTCACTCCAGCACTTTCCTACTGTAAGAATATTGCACATTCCGATAATGTTGCACAAATTACTGGCTTTTTATAAAGACCATATATGAGGTATTAGTCTATTAATAAATAAAGAACATGGAAAAGGAAAAGCACTTAATGTAATGCAACAATCCATTCCAAGTAGTTAGTGAACGAAAACTGAACAAGCAATAATACACACCCTCAAAGGGAAGGTTAAAGTTACTTAGCAAATAGGCAGCTTTCAACATCCATCCAAAAAGCAAAGGATTAAATCTCTTTCCATAAAGATTTTAAGAACTCAAAACCCATTTAGAACACTGCTGCTTAAAGTGCTCATTTTGTTCATGCAACCAATCTGAAAGGTAAATTCTTATCTCACAATTCTAAAGAGACAGCAATAACCAGGTGACAGTAATCTTATTAAAAAGAACCAATTTAATACACTCAAATTGTACTACGAGTTAAGAAATAAACCAGAACTTTTGGATTGACATCAGTTAAAATATTCAGCGGTTTTTGTTGTGATGTTTTGGTTTGCCTTTTTTTGTTATTTTTGTTTAGTTTAGACTGGTTATAGATTTCCATGGTGCTGAAATTGACACCCATCAGTACTGTCCTTATGAGCAGATTCCAGCACCACAAGGCATTAGGCAGATACAGTAATTTTAATTTCCAGGTTTATTGCGTTTATACTAAAAATTTACCTTTCAAATCACAACGCTGAAATA